CGCTCGGCCGCCGCGCCGGCACTGACTCCCGCTCAGTCCTGCTGCCTGGGCGGCCCCTCCCAGCCCGGGATCCTCCCGCGGGGCGCGTCGCCCCAAGGCGAATTAGAAGAGAAACGGAGACTGAGAGGGAGAGCGCCGAGAGCATGCGGAGGCGGAGGAGCCTCGGCGCGCTCGGCAGAGGGGTGTAGTGAGTCTGTCTCCCCAAGGCGTGCGAGAGAGGCGGCGTTTCGCCCTCGCGGCGGGTCCCTAGCCCACCCTACCCGGGCTCCGGCGCGCTGCGGCTGCGGGCGCGAGGTGCATGGAAGCGGCGGCTGCGGTGGAGGAGGCGGCGGCTGCCCCATGGAGTGTTACTACATTGTCATCAGCTCCACGCATCTCAGCAACGGACACTTTCGCAACATCAAGGGAGTTTTCCGGGGCCCTCTCAGCAAGAACGGGAACAAAACTCTGGTAATTGCTTCTGTTTCTCTCTTTCCCTCTCCCTCTCTTTCTCCTCCTGCCCCCCCCCCCTTCACTAAGAGGGCATTTGGAGGATTGAGGTTACTGTGAAATTTTGGAGGTGTCGCGTTTCAATTTGGTTTATAATATATCAATTTATCCTTCTTGTGGGTGTGGGGTGAGAATTAGATGTAGAAAAAGGCTGTAATCTTAGGGAAGGTAATATATGTCAAATCCACGGTTTTGGTTGACACTTCGACAATGCTCTGGACTCTCAACACCTCACTCCCTAATGCTGGAGATTACCACAATGGCTCCTTTTTTGAAGCAAATTGTGTCAACAGGACCTTTTTTTTAAGAAAGAAAATAAAAGCACCCTAACCCCAAGTGACCCTCTAACATATTTTGGCTTTGGAAGCTGAAGGTGAATGAGGATGTGGGTGTCTCCGATGGAAGCGGGAGCCATGTGACAGGTGGCGCGGAGTAAGTGGCGGGATTGAGTGATGGTCTCGGAAGGAGTTCGCGTTCTGGCTGTCTTTTGAAGGACCGACAGCAAACTTCTCTAGTGAGAAGTTGTCAGGACTAAGCTTAACTGAGTGACTCCAGAACCCCTTGTCGCCCACTTTAAGCTATTCATTCAAAAGAGGTTAGAGATAAATGTGAAGGGTGAGCATTATGTCACAATCAGAGCCACTAGGAAGCATGCTAGACAAATAGAACCCATGCAGTTGCTGGGAGGTTCTCACTGGACCACAGAGCTTCATCTTTCAGCATCCTAGTCAAAAGAGCACTCCTGATTGGTGGGAGAGGATGTGCTGAGCATTGAGATAGTGCAGGGTAATAGCTCTTACTTTTTCTAACAAATCCCCTCTTAGTTACAAAACCTCCTTGTGGAACTGACTCCTGAGAAGTGTACACTTCAAAAAAGAAAAAAAGGAAGTAGGGAAAAAGCTCATTAAGGTTAAGTACTGCGAAGAGAGTAGAGCTAGAGTAAGGTGGTAATAAGCAAATATATGTATCACTAAAGTCTGAGCCCCCCCCCCTTTTTTTACGAAGTGGTTACTGAGCCTGAGTAGATAGAGTAGAAGTTTAAGGACAGACTCAGTTAATCCATATTTTAAAATATGATTCTACATAAATTTTTTACCAAGTGCTGTGATGTTTTCCAAAAATGAAAAGTTCTCTTCTGAAGTTTTAAGTGAATTCTGGCACTGATAAACATTTGATTTTTTTTTTTCTTTCTCCTCTGAATCTATTGGAATCCTCCTCTCAGCTTATTTAAGATGCAAACAAGCAGGGTTAGTTTGTTGCTTTTATTGTTGTGGATAAGATTGGTGTTGAACAAAAGAAAGTGAAAATACTACTCTGTGGTCTTTCTTAGTGGAGTATTATGCAGAGCAATAGGCAAAGGCTAAGGGGATTACTGAAATTGTTTTGGCTCTAATTATTTTCTTAAAGAACTCAAGTGTGTGGGAAGGTAAATATTTTGGCAGGGGGACTCTTCAACTTGAAGAAAGCATGCACTGGTTTGTTTTTTAAATCAAGTTTTACTTGTAGGAACAGGCAAACTTACTGAACAAGATCTCTATAGTTACAATAATGGTGTAGGTAAAAGAAAAGAAAAAAAATAGTAGAGTACATAGAAAAACAAAAAAAGTTGCCAAACCAGAACTTGTTAAAATTCTGGTAATTTTGATTCTTAAATCAACCTTGGGTTTCTAAGAGTGGTTCAGTTTACTTATGCTGATTTGTTTGTCGTGGGTTTGAAGTCAATCAGTTCTTTATCACTCATATTGACAAAAGATAGGTTAAAGTCTAGATTTGCCAGTGTAAGTTTGGGATTATAATGTGTGTTAAAAGCAGCTAGTAAATGAGATGAATAAACCTAAATATGGTCAAATGTTGGAGCAACAAACTAGAGGAAGAAGTGTTATAAATAGCTCTTATCATATTTCTTTTACTTAGAGTAAAAGAACTTACAGGGACTTAATAGCTTATTCTTCCAGATATTGTTTATAAACTCCCCAAGTTTGTATTTCCTGTGTAAGAGATTTACACTGAGTAAAGTTACATAGATTTTCATATATGGTCCAACTGTATTTGAAACTATTACTTTACAAGATAATATATGTCATACGTTTATTCTCTATATGAGTTTTGATTATTTTGTTATTAAGGAGGGTGAGAGTTATGCCTGCCTTTATGTATAGGAGAAGAGATTTAAACATATTCATGAATGTTTTTAGTTAAATAACTATCTAGACTTACCTAATAATGTATTCTTCACAAAACATAGGATACTTTGAAAACTTAGTATAAGCTAAAATGTACTATCAGCTAAAATCAGAAACTGAACCTGAAACTTCTCAGAATTAGGAACCTTAAGAAACACTAATACTATCTTAAAAATGTACATATACTACATTTTGAACATTTTCAAGTGAGAATTTTTGGTTATTACTCTTTAATCTCATTTTAATAAGGTAAAAATTATGAGACCCTTTTTACTTTTTTGTCTATTTGATTTTGACATGTTTTGAATTTTACCTTTAAAAACATAATCACATTTTTGCATCTTGATATGTGTATTAAGCTGAAAGAATTTTAACAATATTTCAAGTATTTTTTCTTATTTCAGGAAAGCACAACTTAAAACCATTCAGGGAAAAAGTATTTTGATTTTTCCAAAGAAATTCCAATTATTTTCAGTTACTGGATAACTAATGGATATTCTTACCATTTTTTAGGTCATATTTTTAAAAGATTTATTTATAATCTTTGAAAAATTATTGAATAATTTAAGATAGCCTATAACTGGTAATATAGTATTCTTTCATGAATTAGAAGTCACTTATAGAATAAAGTTACCTCAGGCTTCAGTGACATTGATTAATTGCTTTAGCCCTAAAATCCAGAATGTAATCCTGCTACTTATACTGAGGAGATTATCAAATTGTACAGTCTTTCCATAGGTCATATTATGTCCCTCACACATACAATTTTAAAAAGATACTTAAAGATTAAGCTTGTTGTTAATATTGACCTTATTTCTGAACTTTTAAATAATTCCTCTTGACAATTTTAACTGAAAATATACAAATCTTCATTTTGCAGGGTCTTACAAGCAAAGAGAAGGATCACTCTACTTGTCATGATTTCTGTTATAATAGCATCATATCTGTGATACAGCTTTAAGTCCATGGAATAAGAGATAAGCTAATATTTAATGAGTGCTCCAGAATATGTCTTTATAAGTCATATGGTTTAGTGGCAATGAATAAAGTTTACCATCCATATAGTCTCATTCTTTTTCCTTAGATTATCCCGTAGATATCACCATTATGTATAAAATTGTTTATTGGATAAGGACATTTTGTTATACGTATGTTTTGTCAATTGAGCCACAAAATTTCTTTGCCCTAATTATATATTTAAAAACTTTTAGTATAAAATACTTATATTTTAATACATAATTTAAAAATACAGTTGATCACTTTTAATATGGCATTTGGAACTTTAAAAATCATTACTAATTTGTTCATTACATTTTGTTAGTCAGCATTTTTATATCTCATAAGAGTGTTAAGTCTATTTTACTGACTGTGGAATTTAAAAAAAATGAGTGGTGATTTTGAGGTCATACAGTAAGTCAACATTATAATGCCAATTTCCTAACTCCAGACATATTTCTTTTATAATTTAGATACTAAGTTAGGGATTCCATAGGAACTGGTGTGTTACTATCCACACTGATTAAAGATATGGTGTTTTATTTTATGAAGGCACTCTGTTTTTCCACTTGCCTTCAGGTGAGGAGAAATAGATTCACAGAATAATTTGAATTCAAATATATTTTAAATCTCCTCTTCCAATATGCAAGCATCAATAATTTCTATCTGGCCTAAGCCCTGTTTCTGTAGGTTGCCCTCCTTTTCCAATATATTAAGTTCTAGAGTTGACAAGAAAAGAAATGTTGATTTATTAATCAGTTTTCAACATTCTTGTTATGTAGTTCATTTGGGTTTATTGAGATGCTGCAATTGTAAAGCACTATTCTGGGCACCACAAGCTCTGTGCTAGGTGTTATGTGTCAAATATTATTCATTAAGATGTATTCATGTACACTCCTGTTCATTTTTGAATGTGCTGAAAAAATATTCACATATTTTGACATGTTTGCAGGTTTCTTGTCACTCAGGAAGTTTTCATATGTATTCATTCTGAAAAGAATGAAAAAGTTCTGGATTTTTTCCTTTATGTATACAGGAACTCACTAAAATTAAGAGTCTTTGAAATACATTACATGGCCTTTTGTTCTAATTATCATCATCTAATATAACATTATTATTCATGTCATTTCTTTGCACATTTCTATATCTTCTAGAGAATGTAATTTAAAAGGTTTCTCCACTCATTGAAACCCACTTATGTGTCATATTTAAGATTGTGCATAAGACTAAAGAGACCAGTTGTTAAATTAGTGCTGATGAAAAATTATCATTGTTAGATTAATATCCTCAAGAAAGGTTAAGGGTGAGGGTGGATTAGGGTGATATCTTAATATATTCCCAAACTTTCCCACTTTATAAACTTGTTCAGATAATCAGTCCATTATATACTCTTCCAAACTTCTTTTAAACTATTTTGTATTCAGTATCAAAGACCATCTTGTGTCTCACTTTTCTGAACTTAAGGTGTCATATATACTTTGCTATACTTATTTTTTATTCTAGCAAAACTTTACAAATGTGCATTTTTAGAACACATTTTTCAAGTAAGGAAAATAACTTATAATTGAATTATTGATGTTATGACCTACTAAAAAATGTAAGCAATATTTTAAGGTAAATGTTGTCAAGCAATACCCATAATGCCGACATACCTTTGTTAGTGCGTTAAATATTAAATTATTTTTGATAGCTGAAATTCAAATAGTGACATGATATCTTGTCATCACTTCTAGTTCCTCACCAGGTTATTGATGACTGTAATTACATTTTTGCTGAAAACAC